AAATGTACCACTGAACATTTTCACAGTATAAAATCTTTCTCCAGCAGCCAGACAGACAATATGTCAAACTTTGGTTCAATTTTAGTTCCATTTCATTACTCTCCAGTCTCTTTGCAGTGCAGTACAGTCTGTGAACCTCTCTCTCAGCCCACTCTACATTATCTCTGGATATACTATAGTGCCGTGGATGTTGCAGTATATTCTGAGTGTTATGCTTGAAAAGAAAGAAGCATAACTCAGTCTTGGCACTGTTGATCTTTTAGCAACAACAAATAAAACAGACACTGGATTAGAACTGTTTACATCAGGAAAGGCTGAAGGTGTTGGTCCACTGGTCGCCTGTGTGTGTGCATGTGTCGGGGCAGGACTCCGCCGTGCGCGATACAGAGAGCAGAGGAGAATTTTAAACACGCGACCACATGTAGAGACAGAAATGACATGCCGTCGTGTACACAAAATAAATAACATATGCTGTTTAGTTTGTTTAATAAAAGAACAAAGTATAGAACTGTTCTAAAGGAAACGTAGCCTTAATTGACTTCTGTTGTGATTTGGCGTTATATAGAAAATAAAATTAAATAAAATTTACTTGACCTTCTAAGGGGGCAGGGGTGTTAACATAATGTTAGGGGAAATGCTACTGCGGAATTTCTGATTATCAATAGGGGTCGCAAAAGTCCCTCTAAAGTCCTAAAGGTCTGTGGTATGAGTAAATAAACTAATGAGACGTGTTTGTAGCTTTTTCTGAACACTTTATTTGTTTCCATAAATGAAAAAAATAAAAAGTTATTTAGTCAAACTATTTTAATGTTGAGTAACCGGATGGATAGAACTGAAAAAAGGGACTGGCAGTCATAGTGACACCCACTCCCCTTTCTTGGCCAGCAGAGGAGTCAGGGAGAAGCTGCGGTTAGGAGGAGATAAACGAGGATAAAAGGACTGGGAAGGCACAACAGTAAATATACTATGACAATCCTAAACCTTGGGAACTTCATTAGTAACCTTAGAGTAAAAAGAAAAACTCAAAAACAGTGATTTTTTCCCCCCTCTCATTAAGAAAATTAAATCTAAATCCCTTTAACTAAACTGAAGTGTTAGTCACCCTATTAGAGCAGACCTCTTTCTAAAATTAAGGCATCTGTAGTGGTGTCAACTGTAAGTTACAACAGGAGGGTCACGTGCTTTCAGGGTACACTATGCATGGCTGCCAAACAAATATTTATAGGGGTCTCTCTCAGCATGTAGCTCGTTCTGAATATAACCTCAGGCAAAAACAAGAACAGAGCGATATTTAAACAGAGATGCAGATTCAGTATAATGGCAGCACAAAGCTCACAGGGTAGAGTCCAAGCTAGCCAGCGCCTCGCTGGATATGTGTGAAAGAGCTAAACTGCAGCGGTGATCAGTGATATGTAGAGAAGGCTGTTTAAGGGTGGGGTGTTAGGAGATGAGGTGTGGGTCACGACTGGCCATTTATGTGAAGGTGAGTCCCGCCTCATTGTAGACTTTGAAGACTTTCTCGATGGCATTAACGTAAGCAGCCGTCCGCAGGTCCAGACCCAGGTTGTACTTGCTTGCTGTGCGCATGATTTGCTAAAGGCAGAAGAAAACATGATGTTCTAGCAACTCTGATAGTTAAACTTGAAGGAAAGAGCTGTATATGTGACTGCAACTAAGAGAGCTCCTGAATATTTCAAAGCTTTCCCATGCAGATGTTTAGCATCAACATGGGTAACTCTTCCTTTAGATTAGATTCCTTTAGATTTAACACTAGGACCAGGAATAAGTTGCCATTGCTCATTACTACTAATAACAACAAAACCTTTATCATTATACTTGTGATAACCACTCATTAACATTAGCAGCCTTCTACTGATAAACATGGCATTAATGAGGTTTGTGGATAATTTGTCAAAGGACATCGTTATTAGATGTTGTACTTCTAAAAAGTACAGCAGCTACAGTCTTTTGTGTCTAAAATCTAGCAGTTTGGGTAAAGTTTCTAGTTAAAGAGGCACACAGCTGTGAAGTGGTAATTCTAGTTACTTGATAATTAAGTTTGAGAAACACTGTACTAAGCTAACATTTCTAAATTTGCCTAGTCACAGTTTACTCTGGTACCTGTTCAGTAAAACTGCCTGGACTGTGTTGTGACCTGCATGATCACTTACCCGGGCAGATCTCTCCATTGTGTAGGCCAACCCAGAGTGAACGATATCCTTCTCAGAAGCACCCTGCAAAGAAAAAGGAATGTTAATCAGACAGTCAAGCTCAAGGAGGACATTGTGAACGGCATTCAGGCAAAGTTTACTGTATCAGGGCAACTTTTGTGTTAGTTACTCTTCTATGATAGTCCTGGGAATAATCTAGCGTTATGTTATCTCGGTGTACTAGTAACTTGTGTGTATGCTGTATCACATAACAGCAGTAGGAAGGGGCAGAGAGAAAAGAAAAGTAGCAGGTCTCTCCAAACTCCACAGGCATGTGATGAGCCTCGAAACCCCCCTATGACATCTTTGGTATCCCTTGGCATAAGGGATACCAAAGAGTTTAACTCTGATTTAAATGCAATGCTTCCATCAGTATGGCTGGCAGCTACTTCAGTAACATAAAAGCTGAGTAGGTGGGGGAAGACAAATGATCAGTATTAGTCTTTAGACCACCTTCATATGGCCATTTCCTGGAGGCAGTTTGTACCAGTGCAGACCCCAATACTTAAAAACTATCAGTAGAAAAGAACTGTTAATTTTTTACCAGCACTAGCTTGTGTGTCTATGTGCATTTAGCAGATGTTACTCACAGCAACTCTGGCCTGGAAGTCAGCAGTAGGGACGATGGGGATGGGTCCTCCCTGTTTGCCAAACTTTCTTTCTAAACTCTCCTGCACAGACACTGGAAGGAGAAATCAGAGAGTGAGCCATCTTGTTTTTACATCGAATTCTGCAATTCTATGATTGGCTGTATGTCACAGGTTTTCCAGAGCAGTCCTGACACTATACTGACACTAAAAATACTATTCTGTAAAAGCTTATTTTTATATAATGGATAGTCTTTATAACATCTACATCTGATGCAGATCCTGAACTGAGTTTTTTTGTTTTGTTCCTTCAGGAAGCAACTGTAAGACTGGTATATCAATCATTCCACTGAGAAGACCAGAGCATCACAACACTAAGAGGAATACCAGGTATAACAACACATTTTTAAGCAGAGTAACATGTTAATTTACAAGAAAATGGTTTTCTTTGTTTTAACACAGGTGGCTGCTCATCATACCCAGAAAACTGCAGCAAAAAGGAAAAAGATCAGAGAGGAAGCACTGAACACAATGGTACCCGATGCAATCTCCTTTTTTGTAGCGCTCTTCTAAGAGAATGGCTGGATGCAATGAAGGAACAATATCCTCAACTGGAGGAAACTCAACAAGATAATGTAATCAAACTCAAGTCTAAAGAAGGCACCTATATCTGTATCCCACTGTCAAAGCTTTTGTGTATGGAAAACTAAGGAATAACTTGGAGGATGAGCTTCAAAAGATGAAAATGATGGCTGAATCACACAGATTACAACAAATGTCAAAACTGGGGGAAAAAAATCAGGGAGGTCATGAAGGTGATGGCACTCTCCCCACCAACTGGTGAGAACTAGACTGTTTGCTGACTAACCCCTAATTTCCACTGCGTGTGACAGCGTTGCATTCCATCTATGAACTGGTTTTGATCTGTCCTCTGTGTGGCTTCATCCCCCGCTGGTTCCATCTGCGGAGTGACTTGTTGTGGTGATGGTTTTTCATGTTCTTCGTTCTTCAGCTTCTACAGCAAGTAGGCTTCATAGTTAGTGTTTCTTTTTTGTCTATTGATCGTGTTTGAAATCCTGATTTTCTGTGGCTATAGCCACAAATCTTTGGTCTGTGTTTCATAACTTAACTGTAGCCATTAAATTTAACTGTCGTCATTGTCTGTAGGCTACAGATGACAAAGTAGGAAATAACATTAAACACAATTAACAGACAAAATAAGAAACCATTTAACTATAAAGTCTACCTACTGTAGGAACAAAGAACAGTATCCTAGACAGAAAACCAGCACCACAACAAGCCATTTTGCAAACAAGCCCAGTGGGGGATGAAGCTGCACAGCGGACTGATCAAAACTGGGTCACAGATGGAACACAATACAGATGCATCTGGTGTAAATGAGGGGTAAGAACAGAAAGGGAAAACAAAGAGAATCCAAAGGATTACCTAAAAGACCATTAAAGCTCTTTCCTACCACACTGCTACATCTTTGAAAATTTCCATTTCTTGTGTTTATATATTGATTTAGAAATGCTTCACAAGAGCAGTAATTTCAATTGTAGAGAAAATGCAAAGGTGATGTAGCTTCTGATTGTGTCTTATTAGCCTTAGCAAACACTGGTCCTTCTGCAAGTTACAGAGAAATAATGGAGAAGGCTTATACTCACTGAGCAGGTGGTAGTTTGAGTCTCTCTCATATTTGAAGGTCAGTCTTCCGTAGCTGACATGGTTGAGGTTTTTGAGCCACTCAAAATAAGATACCGTCACACCTCCAGCATTCAGGTACATGTCCTGCAGGATGAAACGTCACATCTTCAGACACCTGCTATTGCAAAACATTTGTCTGCCTGTCAAAATCATCACACCGATGATTCCGACATGTTTAACCCCGAATACCCTTCCTGACGCAACTCTGAATTGACCCCGGGCCACAGCGGCGAGAGCGCTGAATCCTAGCCACTGGTCCATCAGGGACCCCCTTCTCTGTTCAGTGTATTGAATTCATTTAATTAAATTCTCATTCTACTTAAAGAAAATCATTTTTTAAAATCATTTAAAATAAAGATACTGAAATAAACTGCAAAAGAAATGCTTCTGTGAAATTATTTCTGCTTATTAACACAACTCAGTTACTGGTTCCTCAAGAATAAGTGACAGTGCCTTTTTCAGATTTCGTTGACAGTGCTGGAAAGAAATGATTGTCACTGAATGATTATTAGTGCTCAGAGGTATAATGTTTTAAAAGTCATGTCTGTGCCTTGTGGCAACTTTGACATTTTAGAAACCAGTTTATCCTCTTGAACTGAGCTGAATGAAACAAATCAATTGGAAGTGAATTGTTTCGAAATTGTTAAAGATCAGCTTCATATCTGAATGTGAAAAGAGTTTCTAATGTAGAATTTTGAAGTTTGCATTTCTGTGTGCGTGCTTACAGGAATAACCATGACGTTGTTCTCCAGGAAGATCTTGTCAGCATCTGGGGTGGTGGGACCATTGGCACCTTCAGCAATGATCTGAAACAAACAGGAAAAAAAAAAAGACCCCTACTTGACATCACTGTGACCAAGCTGACTTAAAGCACCTTAGGTAAACTCAAAGAGAGAGCGTTTACCTTGGCCTTGATCCTGGGGGCATTGTTACGTGTAAGCTGCTTTTCACCAGCAGCTGGGATCAGGATATGGCAGTCGGCTTCCAAAATGTTTCCTTCATAGGGTTTGGCTCCTGGGAAGCCCACAATGGTACCATATTGCTGCAGAAAGTGCAGACACATAAAACAATACTAGATCAGAAAGGTCATCTGACAGCAATATTTTTAAATGAGAATGAACAAAGAGAATTTTGAGTAAAGACAAAAGATAAAGAGATCAAATAAAGGCAGCAGAGGTGAGGGGGAGACAGTTGTGCTGGTACCAGTTTGTAGTCCTCCAGCTGTTTTGGGTCAATGCCTTCTGGATTGTAGATGGCTCCATCAATTTCACCAATGCCCACGCACTTGGCCCCAAACCTGTGGAGGTACCTCATGGAGTGGAGACCCACATTACCAAAGCCCTGTGAAAAGTCACAGCTCAGGTAACCACCACAGTCAAACAACACAATGAAAATCACTTAAAATCATTAAATAATATGGATATCGCGGCAGCACGGTGGCGCAGTGGTTAGCACCGTTGCCTCACAGCGAGAAGGTTCTGGGTTCGGGCCCCACCCAGGACCTTTCTGTGTGGAGTTTGCATGTTCTCCCCGTGCTTGCGTGGGTTCCCTCCGGGTGCTCCGGCTTCCTCCCACAGTCCAAAGACATGCAGGTTAGGTTGACTGGTGTCTCTAAATTGCCCGTAGGAGTGTGTGTGTGGTTGTTCGTCTGTTTGTTAGCCTTGCGATGGATTGGCGACCTGTCCAGGGTGTACCCTGCCTTCGCCCGATTGCCGGCCGGGATTGGCTCCGGCCCCCCCGTGACCCCATTCAGGGACTAAGCGATAGAAAATTCATCTGAATGGATATCAAATATTAACTATTCTACTCAATAGTTATGTTTGGTCCAGCTTCATGTAACTACATACTCTGCTGCCACCATGTGGCCACTTCAAGTTATAACATCGTCATCAACATTACAATCTACTGTACTGTGAGCTCAAATGAAGCCTCAAGACAGGTGTCACGTGTTTGATTAAACTATCCTGTGTAAATATGGGGAAAAATGAAGACCACAAGCAGGAGCAAATCTAAAACGTGTTATTAAATTACTGAATACCACTGTTTGGCTGTAAATGTTAATTCTGCTGGATTATGGACTGGCAATATGGGAAAAAAAAAAAATCATCTGACGTGGCATATGTAACTTGATATTGATGTCCAGCTCCTGTAAATCCAGTGGTGCCATAAAGAAATTATGATCACTGAATACAACCGGAGAGATTAAAGGACAGGAACATATACTGTATGTCAACTAGAGTTAGCAAATCTATAACAGGGTAAAATTGCTATAGCGGGTTTGAGTCCAGGGTTTGCTCCATTTCTGATATCGTAAATTGATGTCACAGCCATTTTAAAAAGTAACCAAGTGTGATACAGGAGTAAAAACATGCCCTTGTTTTAATCTTGTACCATACTAAAGATCTGTTCGCTCCCCTTTCAGTTATAAATCTCTAAGAAAATCTAATCTCAACATAACATAATATTAAAACACACCCACATAAGGATTACTGTAAATTTATCGAACATCTGCGTCATGATGCAGCTCCTGTCACTACTTCTTCACCGCTTCAGTGATGCCCGAACCCTGTCATCATTCCATAAACGTCACCCCGCTTCAACATCTCTAACTGTTCCTTTATTGTTCCTGGGAAAAAAACCTGCCTCCTAGTAAATCTCTTTAAAGCAAGGGAAGCATATTTGTGGATGCATCCTGTAAGGATCCTAGTTAATGTCTGTGTCTAGATGTCCAGGGTTGTTTCGCTGTTGTCATAAAAAAGAAGTAGCAAATGTAGAAAGCATTCAGAGAAAATCGACAGTGGACAGTGCCTAGGGGCTCCCCACCCTTGTTTCACTGTTGGTGTGTGTGTGTGCGTGTATCCATAACACGTGCGATGCTGCCATGTGATAAATGGAAGTGAAACTATAAGGTAGACTGCTGCTCTCTCACTTTTTGTGCCCACAGACACAATTCTCCTTTTACAGATTTATAACTTAAATAAGGAGTGTCCAGAAGGAAGGAGAGAGACAGAAAGAAAGAACATAATTTTAACATTTAATGTTGACTTCTTTTTTTTTTTAACTCAAACTGTGTTGAGTAGAGCTGGCAATTTCTCCCAAAACTCTGTAATTAGTCCCACTCTCTTACAAAATCTTCAATTCCCCTGAAGACACAAGAGAAAGTGCTTCAGCTCATTGGTGTCTGCCTGACATGTGGAGATCAGGGCCAGGCTAAAACCGATGGCATGGCTCTGATTGAGCTGCAGCACTAAAACCCCTCATCATGATTCTAAATGAAAACCTAAATCCTGTGTCTGTGAGCAAATACATGCAGTATGTTTAGAGTCTAGGCTCCCATTCCTCTCTGGTAAAATGTTTCTACCAGGATCAGACCATGCATGTGTGTGTGTGTGTGTGTGTGTGTACCTGCACAATGAAGGTTTTGTCTAGGAAGCCAGGGCTCAGGCCAAGCAAACTCATATAGGACGCCTCGTTAATGAAGTTCTCGACGCCGTGGAAAACTCCACGACCAGTGGCTGATATACGTCCGTGGATACCCCCCTGGCTGATGGGTTTTCCTGTCACACATGCATGGGCGTTGATGTCCTACACACACAGAGAAGATCAGACCACAAAGACAATAGTGGTGAGTTTAATTGGCTGAGATATCACAGATGTAAACACAACCCAAATTATACCATTATTTGCTAAAACTGGCACCAAGACGCCAGTTACAACTTCTGAAAGCAGCTCTGGGACCAGTACTTTTTTCCCCTCAGAAAGCAATTAGTTATACTGGTATAGAAAATTCTGAATTAACTAACAGATGTTTAGGAATCAGCATCTAGTAGCAACCATTGGTACTGTATTTCCTTCCAACAACAGCTTTAGCTTTCAGAGATCAGAAAGTGGAAATGGATCTCAGGAAGAAAGGAGGGGAATGGTAAATGGTCTTATACTTGTATAGCGCTTTACAGCACACTCAGAGCGCTTTCACACTATTTGGCCATTCACCCATTCGAACTCTCAAACACTCACACATTCTCACACCGGTGTTATCACCAGGAGCAACTGGGGGTTCACTGTTTTTCTCAAGAACACTCCGACATGCTGACTGGATAAGCTGGGAATTGAACTGCTAATCCTCCGGTTAGGAAATGACCCACTCTACCTCCTGAGCCACAGCCGCCCGAACTGAACTATATTAGGTTAAATTCGTTTTTGGTAGAAACATTAAGATTTATCCATGTCACCGGACTGGAAAGCTGCTCTGTCCACCGTCTAATACATTACAATGTTTGCAGTCATTAACTTTTTAATGCTGCAGGCACAGTTACTGTATAGAGTTCTTGGTGTATGAGCCATTCAAATTATAGCACACCACTCAGCAGCCGCTGAGGAACCACCTTGTGTATACATATATTTATTTATTTTGAGTGAGATCCATTCATATCAGTGGTTAAGGTTCAATAGTGATATTTTATAATCATGCACCACTATCAGGTGCAGGAAGAGAATCTGTAAAGAAAAGAGATGCACTGACAGAAGATAAGCTCCCAGCACTGGGCGAGTGTGACACCCAGGTGAAATATATACTTTATACTTGTGATCTGTATTATGGTCATAGTACAAAAGAGTAAAGACTGCAGGCTCCATTACACTATTTCAGTGTAAATGCCTGTTGAACAACAGTTTACTTCAATAGCATGATTTTATACATTTTGTTTTAGCACTTTCTTTTTTGTGAAGCATTAAATTTGACCCTAGCTGCAGGCTCAAATGTAATATCTGACAATTCAAAAATAAATTTAGATTGTACCTTTTACACAAAATACGCCAAAATGCAACTGAACACGCTCATACTTAACTTGACATGCTTTAATAGTATCAGAGTAAATTAAAGAAGAGTAAAAAGTGGGACATTTAACTCCACTCTCCCCTACATATGAACACACACACACACACACACACACAGTAAGTACTTTCCCTCTCTAGTCAAATACCAGGTTTTGATAGAATGATTAACATTTGTGTGCATGTGCACACACAATCCTCAGTCTGTAAAGCGGCTTTTAAGAGAGCAGGAACATCTTTGTGGTGAGCTGGAAGGGAGAGGCAGGAAACCACTGTTCATAGTTTACATGTGAGTCACTCCTTGTTTTTAATTCGGCCTATATTAAAGTCTGTACAAATAACCGGCCGAGCTGGACAGATTGGTAGCATTTGTCTGAGAACTTACAGTGTGTGCAATGGTGTTGGCATATGTGTCAGCGATCCATGACATTTCCCTCTCTCCTGTGCTCATGTCTGGGGCTGGGACATCGATGCCAGGTCCTGGTGGACAAAGATGGGGAGGACAGGAAGGGAGGGAGAAGTGGGAGAGTTCAGTAAAACAGGCCAGTCACTGTATACTGCAGTCTGAATAGAGGACCGGGGAAAGTAAGTGCTAAGCTTCTTGTCCTGAGTCGTATGTACCCTCGAGGACAAT